GAGGCTACAGTATGACCCTTCGGTCAATGTGTCTCAGCGGGACCCTCCAGTCCAGTAGCTCGTTGGATCCTCTGGTCCGGTCTGTATCGTTGGACCCTTCGGTCCAGTCTATATCGTTGGACCCTCCGGTCCGATCTGTACCAAACATAGCATATATATATTACATTGCACATAATCTCATACATACACATAGCACACAAGACCCTTTGGTCTACACATAGTTACCACTCTAGGTAATGTATAGTGAGAAGACTCACCTCGTATGTTGTCTAGTAACTCACGTCCTCGGTATCCTTGAACCTCGTAACAAAGACCTAGCCCCGCCTAAACATATAAGCGATCATCTCAAATCAATAACGGCTCTCCAGGCTAGACTAGTTCGTTCCAACGTTATTTCAGAAGGATAAAAGACCATTTTACCCTTCTAATGGTCCAAAAGTCCAAGTGCTGACCCAACCCTAAAAGTCAACGAAAGTCAACGATCAATTTTGACCAGACTCATCGAGTGAGCCTTCCACTCGACATGCTACATCCGGTCACGAGTCACGGGGCAACTCGACTCGACTCGTCAAGTCCGTTCATTAATCCAGTCAGCAATCGCGATCCTACTCAGCGAGTCTAAGTGTCAACTCGCCGAGTCCCTCCTCATAACTCAAATTAAATAATCAAAATATAATACATGGAAATCCGGATGTTACATAAAGTTTTCAATTGAATAAGATTTTTTGTAACTTTTTCTAATGGAGATAATCTTCGATCTCCATCTCCCAAAATCCACAATCATGATTTTTCACATTATCGATCTTAACCTTCCTATATGTAGTCATACTAGTTGTTGGGTTAAAGATATTATAAACACACAATGAAGATGCAAACAAAACATTAATAACACACATAATTACATGGTTCACAAGAGTGAGAGTAGTCATGTTATATCATAGGTGAACTAGAGATTTTATTAAATTTTCATAATATACCACTATTACTAATAGGGTTTAAGATTCGATTAAAAATACCTTTCGTTTGAGAAAGAGGCCCCACAAACATGATCCTCCATAGGTTCTGTAACACCATTATGTTTCATGTTGCTTTACTCATTATGTTTCATGTTGCTTTACCACATTAGAACACTCTGATTGTACTAATGTGAATTGTTATGTGACTTGCACAAGTCTAAGTCCCTTGGATCCCAATTGAATTTTAATTTCTCGAACACAACTTGTCTAAATGACATACTAAGTGCTTAAACATCCGCTTTGAATATATTCACTGTACTATTACACATCTGAACTTAGTCCATGACAATACGCCTTAAAGCTACATAACCAAGTCACAAAGCCCCTTCGTAATGACATAATTTTTTAGACTAATTCTAAACATATCTCAACACTTAGGATATATATATATATATATATATATATATATATATATATATATATATATATACCCTTAAGGGTATATAAGCTTAGGTACCCAAACACACCATAATACGTCGTTTTGTTTAATATAGTCATTATAATGTTCTTAAACTTCAACCAAAACTTTATTTACTTTAAAGATTTTCAAAATTTTACTATTATTTTCCTCTTACATCATTCTTTTTGCCGAACACCTACTAGACTTTATATATTATAATTAAAAATGAAAATTATGTAAGAGGAAGATAAATGTGAAATTTATAAAAATCTTGGAAGTGAATCAGGTTCAAAGTTTAATTATAAAAACATTGGACAATTACAATGCATATATAAGATACAAAACGACATATTATGATGGGTTTGAGTACCTAAGCTTATATACCCTTAAGGGAATATTCACTTTTCTTATATATATATATATATATATATATATATATATATATATATATATTTGAGTACCTAAGCTTATATACCCTTAAGGGAATATTCACTTTTCTTTTATATATATATATATATATATATATATATATATATATTACCATATTCAAAATGTAAATATAGTATCTAATATTATATAAATATAACTAATTTACATGTACATTTAGTTTTGAGCATTTAATTTATTTTTAACACCTTTCATGATCTTTTGAGATTTAATAAACTCAATTTCAAAACTTGCATTTTTTTTTTTTGCAGAAGGATGTATTGTATATCCATTAATAAGAAGTGGGAAAGAAAGATAGCAAACTTCGTTTAACCTTAATTTATTCGGTGTTTTAGTTCATTTTGGAAAGCCCGAAAGTTTTTTGGTGTTCAAAAAATTAAGGTGTGCTCCTTTGATTGGATAAAATATTGTACTAAGTTCTCTACATTATGTTGGTTTGATTGGTGTAATGGTTCTTGAATTTCTTGTAATTTGTGATCGTTAGCATCTTGTTAGTTGTTTTATGTTTAATGTATGTTAAAAAAATTAATAAATTTTCAATCATGGTTTTTCATTAATTAAGGGTATGTTTGGCTTAGTTTTTTAATCTTAAAAGTATAATTGGTAAAAGTGCTTATCGGCTAAAAAAAATTTAAAAAGTGTTTTGTTTAGTTTTTGTTGTATAAGTTGGTTTTAAAAATTGTTTGAATTAGCTTTTTGGACCTTCCACATTGCAACTTGCAAAACTAGTTTGCAATGCCACATCATAAGAATTAAATGTCAGATGTATCTTTATCTTTCACGGTTTGCAATACTTGCAATTGTAATTGTATCATTATTTTAATCAAATACCATGACCTACTAAATTTTCTTTCTAAAAGTTCTAAATGATGGTGAGGTGATATCATTTGTAAGATCTTATCATTGCAACGATATGGGTGCTCTTAAAGGTAAAAGATAATAGAAAAAATTAAAAAACCAATAAAAAAAATTAAGATTTTATAGTTTTTTGAAACTTTCTTATTTTGTGTATCTAAAAAGTTGTTTGAAAAAACTTTTTAAATTGCTCAAATATTTTTGTTCAGTTTATTAGGTTTTTAAAAAACTAATAAACTAATAATTTAATTTAATAAGTTAATTTAAAACCATTCCAAACACAGACTAAAATAAGTTTTAAACCTGGAAATGCAAGAGAATGATGGCTATCCTTTTTATAGTATAAAAAAGTAATCAATTTTTTAAACCAAGAAAAATAAAGACAAAATTACAAAAATGGTTCCTGTGGTTTGCCAAAGGTCATAAAGGCAGTCCCTGCTAATTTTTTGATGCAAATGGTCCTTGTGGTTTGTAAAATTTGCAAAGTTGGCCCTTTTTACTAACACCGTTAGTAAAACGCCGTTAGGGACTGAATCTGTAAGGGCATTTTCGTCTTTTCAAGTATAAAGGGACTGAATTCGTGACATTTAATAAACCACAGGGACCATTTTTGAAAATTCTTTGAAAAAATGAATTAATTTGCTGAAAGAAAGAGGGAAGGTTCAAACTCACAACCTCCAACTCCCTTTATCACCAAAGCCTTAACCAGTTGAGCTAAATGCTCAGCTGGTTATTTGTTCCTAAAACTAATATATATAATAATGAAACCGTTAATATTTAAATAATAAATAAATTAAAAAAAACAATTTATCTAAATAATGTATTTTAGTCGTATTAAAAAAAAAAAAATTTACAAACAATTTTTATTTATTTATTTTATGTAAAATATATTTTTTATGTCTTTAAAATATACATTTTCGTATAAAAAATATGTTTTCGTAAAATATATTCTTTTATGACTTTGAAATAATAATAATTAATACTACTTATTACATAAAAAATATATATAAGTTCTTTTGGGTCGCTAGTTCTCAAATACGTATTTCATCTTATTTAACATACATATTTCATTTTATTTAAAATACGTATATCATCTTTATTAAATACATATAACCGAAAAATGGTTTTAAAAAAACCGATTGAACCAATCGTTTTGTAAAAACCGTTTTTTTTTTTTTTTTTTTAGATACATAACAAAATCGTTGTTAAGTTGTTTTTAATACACATAACCGAAAAAAATATGTTTTTGTAAAATATATTCTTTTATGACTTTGAAATAATAATACTTAACACTACTCATGACATAAAAAATATATAAATTCTTTTTGTTTGCAAGCTCTAAAACCGGTTTTTCGATTATGTGTATTAAAAACAACTTAACAACGATTTTGTTATGTATCTAAACAACAAAAAAAAAAAAAAAAAAAAAAAAAAAACGGTTTTTACAAAATGATTGGTTCAATCGGTTTTTTTAAAACCATTTTTCGGTTATATATATATTTAATAAAGATGATATACATATTTTAAATAAAATGAAATATGTATGTTAAATAAGATGAAATACGTATTTGAAAACAAGCCATCCAAAAGAACTTATATATATTTTTTATGTAATGAGTAGTATTAATTATTATTATTTTAAAGTCATAAAAGAATATATTTTACGAAAACATATTTTTTATACGAAAATGTATATTTTAAAGACATAAAAATATATTTTACATAAAATAAATACATAAAAATTGTTTGTAAGAATATATTTTTTTATAATACGATTAAAATACATTTTGTTTTATTAAAAAAAATAGGTAAAAAAATGTTTTTTTAATTTATTTATTATTTAAATATTAACGGTTTCATTATTATATATATTAGTTTTAGGAACAAATAACCAATTGAGTATTTAGCTCAATTGGTTAAGATTTTGGTAATAAAAGGAGTTTGAGGTCATGAGTTCGAACCTTCCCTTTTTCTTTCAGCAAATTAATTCATTTTTTCAAAAATGGTCCCTGTGGTTTATTAAATGTCACGAATTCAGTCCTTTTATATCATTGAAAAGACGAAAATGCCCTTACAGAATCAGTCCCTAACGGCGTTTTACTAACGGTGTTAGTAAAAATGGCCAATTTTGCAAGTTTTACAAACCACAAGGACCATCTGCATCAAAAAAAATTAGCAGGGATTGCCTTTGTGATTTTTAGCAAACCACAGGGACAATTTTTGTAATTTTGTCAAAAATAAATAATAAATAGATAACCCTTCAATCGTACTTATAAATAGATAACCCTTCGAGCGTGTTTTCCGATTTAGCACCTCTCTCTCTCTCTCTCTCTCGCTCTCGCCGCTTATTAAGCGGTGCGGTAACCGGAACTCGCCTTTCTATCTCCACACCCCTTTCAGACAATCCTCTTCTGCAACCAGTGCCCAGACCTCAAACACCGACGATTTCAAACACATTTTATGCATGGGAATCGAGGGAAAAAGCGGTTGCAGCAAAATCAAGAGGAGGAAGTTGGCCATCAACTGGAAACAGCTCTTACCTTCGTCATCCAGTGACGACGATCGTCCAACGGAACTTCTGGTGGCATCAAAGAGGAAATCAGAATGCGGCCGCAGTGAAGGTGACGCGCAAGAGAATCATAAGGAAGACTTGGAACTCCAGACGAAATCATACGCTGAAATTACCGAGTATATTGCGAGATCTAAAAGATTCTTGGTAACACTAAGTGATAAGTTGCCTGATAGGGGCGAAAAGCTCAAGGCAACTCTCCAGAGATACGAAGATGAACTCGAACGAAGAAATAAACTCGAACTGGAGAAGGTTTTGCTTTTTTTTTTCTGCCCCTTTTATGTCAGTGCAATGCTTCTAAATCTTAAAACACGCACATTGGGAACTAAATTTGGTATATCATGCACTGATTGAAAATTAGCGATTGATTTTGGGGGTATTGCTATTTCATGTTTATATAATTGAATCAAATTAGACCATGGTTATTATCAATGGACCTGCCAGTCATATGAATAGAGAAAGATTTTGTAGCACTATTCATATGGAGTTCTATTATTTACATGGGCCTTAATAAATGACAATTCAACTTTCTGATCACAGTGATGAATGTGAGATTAAATCACCAACAAATTGGTAGTATTGCATTGTGTCTATGTATATAAAGTCTGCTAAACTGCTTTTTCTGTAGGTGCTATCGGAGGCAAATGGAAATGTGACCAGAAATCTTCATCATCAGCAATATTTGCCAAATTTATTAACAGAATATTAGCTTCTTGAGGTGAGTACATGTGAACTTTTTATGTGATTATGATTTCCAAGATATGTCATATGTTTTAGTTTATGGTTTATGAACTCTCTACAAGAGTAACTGAATATGTTTTGATTTATGAACTCTTCTGTAGAGTATGTGTTTATGGTGTGAAGAATTCTATATGCTATTGCTATGAACTCTGTTTTAGAGTATGTATAGAAAATTTTCATAATTGTTATTGCTTTGCTAATATAATCCTTCTAGAGTATGTAAGTATGATATCAATTGGTTTATGTTGATATTGTGAACTTTTCCCTAAGGCCTTTAAGTTATGAAAAGCTTATACTTTTAGCATGTGCATATCATGGCATTCGAATGTGATTGAATTGATTAAAAGAAAAGTGGATTGTAGCATGTGCACATCATTTGTATGAAATGCTTTCCAATAGTTTTTATGTCTAAACACATGTAGCTCAAGAGATAGTAATGTCTTTTCTACTTAATTTGTTTTAAATTTCATGTATTACAGGTTCAGGCGCATGGGTGTAGTCCTTATATATGGGCCTTTTTGTAGATCACAAGAAGTAGATGATGATGATGATATGTAGATGATGAATCTTTCTTTTGAAACTTAGTTTTTGTAATTATGTGTGTTTCACTATACTAGTTGTAACTCCTCAAGTTGGTTGATATTTGGAAAATGTTTTTCTTTACAAGATATGATATATGTCGTAAGGTATTTTCTTAAATATCTATAGGTTTCAAAAATATAAGATGTGGTGTTACTGTGTTGCATTAATAAGAAAAAAATGATATACAAACATAGTTTATGTCAATTGATCAATTCCATCATATAAATTATAATCCAAATCAATTCATTTTCAATGCGTGAAAAATATTAGTAAATTGATATTATTGTCTAAAAAAATTAGTATTTTACTATTATCGGTTAAAAAGATAAGTCCGTGACTATCATTGGTAAAAAAGATAAGTGAAAAAGATAAGTACGTTGATTGTTATGGAGCATTGGCTGGTAAAATTTTTAATGGCAGATGAATTTCCACTCTCCAAAATTACATGTAGTAATGAAATTTTTTTTATCATTTGTTAGAAATACAATGTTATTTTGGGTAGAGTGCACACTAATCATATAGACTGTTTCACATTACCATTTGTAACAGACATAAGCAAAAGTAAAATGACATAATTTTAAAAATAATGAAAAAATAGATTGTTATTTCCTATATATAATCCTAAACTTACAGTATAGGCCTTTTTCTTATTCCGCCTTAGCCAAAACAACCATGCTTTTTTTCAGTATTACACCAAGCATGCACCAAAATGAACAATGCTCTGCTATTAGCTTTCATCTTTCTCTTTATGTGTAATTTAGTTCACGAGTATTAATAACCAACAACCAAAAATCAGAATATTGATTTTCATATAAATGACCTCTAGTTATTCAACAATCCAATAACATTACCCAAATATATTTTCACTAAGGCAAAGTGGGTCTTTCTTTTATGGAAACATGACCAACTGTACAACCATTACTGCATAAAACACCACAAAATGCTCACATTCTTTTCCAGTCAGCAAGTCCAAACACTCATGGGTTTGAAAAGGAAAATTAAGAACAAAGTTAAAATTCATCTTAACAACATTAAAAACATCAACATATAAAATTTATGATCAAGAAATAAATGGTTTACCTTAGTAGCTATTGCCTTGTTGCAATGTTGCATTTGTGTTATGAGAAGCAACTTCATCGATGTACCATTGACAGTCTTTTGGGTGGCTGAAATATGATCACATTGTGCTAAAAGGCTGATGTCATCAAGTACTTAATCAGTTAAAACTCATCATATTGGTTAGTCTTTAAGGAACGTGACATTAAACTTACAGAGCAAACCTAAGGAGAATGGTGTGATTTAGCCTTTAGGGTTTACCAATTTGATGGATAGTCCCCACCTTTCGGTATCATGACATGGTTGAATCCCAACGTTTGAATATGAAATTAATCCAAGTCCAACACACCTTGTGTAGGTGCCCTGCACATCAAAGGATTTCATGTTATATCTTGTAAAAACTTGATAGTTTTATGTTTGTTTATCAAATATAATGTAAAAATATAAACTTGGCAGATGCAATACCTTTGGCTTTAGCTGAAAAAAGCCCAGATATAGCTTTTAGGACAACTAAAAGAGGTGGACCAATGTTTAGCACACCAATCTGATCCACTACCACCACCCACAGAGCTGGTGCTTCCCCTTCATGAAATGCAAAAAAGTGAATAACACCCATTGAATATGGAATCATAACCACCTTATTGGTACCATTTGTAGCAACCATCAGTTCTATATTGCTCTTTATCCGGATCAAAGATTGGTATCTTTCCTTCACATCACAAAATTTCACGCCTTACTCTATATGAGCAATAACATGAACTACAGATGAAAGAAATCTAATATACACCTCTGTATTTTTAAATGAGAGCCTCCAGTCATATGCATATGCAGGCATGTACATATTCTTCTGTTCATACCCAACACGACCTAAGTTAGCGATCAAACCAACCGATACAAATATCCTAGAGCAAAGTAGTCCGCAACAAGTAGTCCACTAATTGATCTGACCTGTATACTAGGTAGATCCATCCTTGTTTTGTTGTCTATCAACAAATGTGGTACCCAACATGAAGTTTATGTAACGCTTGATTTACCGGTATGAATTTAATTCCAAGTTATTTATGTTTTCTCGTTGGGACACGGCGTGTTGGAGCCTCAACAAAGCATGTCGAGATGTTTTTGGCTGCGGGGTTTAATGAACCAACACAGCGTGTTGAGGTACGTCAACACGCCGTGTTTGCATCTAGGAAGGAAACCCTAATTTTTAGGGTGTTGCACTCTATTTAAAGGTCTTAAGTCCCCTTGACCGGCCTCCTTACCACCCGCCTTTGTTATCTAAAACCCTAAATCGAGTATTGAGCTTTCTTGGTGGGTTCTTGAAGTTTCGAGTGGATTCTTGTGGATTTTTGTGCTCATTTGAAGGAGCTTTGGAGTTTCAAGGTGTCTAGCTTGGAAGGAAGGTCGTAGATCCATAATCTATCCACTTCTTGCAGTCTTCTTGAGGTATCAAGTTCATACCTTGCTTTATTATTGATTAGATCTTTTCATATGGGTTTTTGTTGTATTTTTGGCTCATTGTTGGGTTTTCTAAGGATTTAAGTTGTTTCATGGGTTACCCTGTTATATCTGAGCATTTTGTGGTCTCCTTTGGCTTAAAGGTGCAAGCTTTATTAAAAACTAGGTCGCATGCATGCATTAAGTCCTTTATTAAGCCCTTCTTGAGCTTTAGAGCTTCTCTTTGGCATGTATGAACGTAAAGTTGGCAACTTTACGTGGTCTCCCAGCTCTAGGGTGTCAGACCTGCATTTTGGGGCTATGTCTTTGAAGATTAAGAGTTTAATGATTAAGCCCTCACTCTATTAAGCCTATGGTTTGGGTTTTGGACCCATTTTGATGGTTCCTAGAGGTAAAGTTGGAAACTTTACCCTTCTAGATATCATTTTGGTCGAGGTCTGAGCTTGGAGCTCTTATATTCGATGAAGCCAGCTTAATGTATTAAGTTGTTGGATTTAACGTGACCTTGGCCAAAGTCCTGATGGGATAACGTCTCGTTTATGATTTTCATTACATTTAACATGACCATTTATGGTAACGTTAATAAGTCCCTTAGACCAGTAGGCTTCTGCGTTCGTGACGTATCAAAGTTGTTATGGGCTACTCACAGGCACGTGACGGGTTGCTATTGACAACTTATGTAGTTGGCAGGGCAAAATCATCATTGTTCTGCGGTTTCATCATGAAAGCGGTCCGCTGCCCCTTTTGTGGTATTTAAGGCTTTGTTCTTCCTGGGGTTTCCTCCTTACCTTCTACTTATCTCTCTTTGACTTCTTGTTCTTGAGAAAAAACCCTTTCAACCCCTTCTTCATATTTTTTCATGGCTACCACTCGTGCTTTGGGGAGAGATCTGACCACCGAAGAATGGGAATCTTTTGAGTTTCAATTCGGGTTCGGTGCCGAACATGGAGTGCAAATCCCCCTACCTGATGCATCACTTTACAGTCTGCCTGAGAGCAAAGTCGGCATCCAAATCGCCTTGTTCGAGTTAGGTCTGTGCTTGCCCACCACTAATTTCTTCAACCTGATCATCCGAGAATACGGGTTTTCGGTGAGAGAGTTGACCTTATCGCTATAAACAAGATAGTAGGTTTTGTACTCCTCTGTCGTGCCTGCTTGCCGACTGTTCCGGCTTTCAACCACTTCTTTAATGCCTCTACTCAGTCGGGGACTCGAACCCTCTATTGTCGGCGGGGAGTCCCTACTCTTACCCACGATAAGAAATCTAAGAAGAACTGGAAGGATAATTTCTTATGGGTGAACATCGATCTCGTGGTGCTCAGTTACCCGAGGGCTAAAGTGTACGTCGATCGGGCTTTGACGCTTTTTGGTGCTGACAAGGAACTGGCTGATGTCCTTGAGAAGATCAACATCAACGGCGAAGATCGGATTCACTGCTTCTTGGCCGCCGGCAAAATGAGCGCTGCTTGGAGGGCTCGTGTTTCGTTGAGAAAGAGGGCATTACTCTTGCTCCTCTCCCCCCCCCCCCCCCACCCACCCCTTTTTTTTTGAAAATTTGGTAAAACACGCTTAAATCGGCATTCTATCTAACCATCGTTATCTTTCATTTTGTTGCCAAGTATGGAGGAAGTTGTTTCTTTAGAGAGAGCTCTTCAGAGTCTGGTCGACGATGAGCTTCAGTGTCGTGATGTTGATCTTTGTGGAGGCTCTTCCACCCCTTTTTTCTGGCCGAGGAACCGAGGCAACTATCGGTTCTGATAGTGCCACTTGCACCAACGGTGATCTAGATCTGCAGGACATTGTTGTCATTGGTGTTTCTTAGAAGGATCCTACACCTTCTAGGTCCCCGAGGAGTCTTCGCTGTGTCAAGAGGCGCTTTGCTTTCCTGGAAGTCTCTTCCAGCAGTCGAACTGAGACAGCCAGCACCGGGCCCCCTCTTCATAAGAAACGTAATCTGATTTTCTTACTGTAGGGTACCAAGGATTCCAACCATGCCCCCGATGAAGGTCCTCCGAAACTGCCAGAAGGGGCACAAACTACGGCGACTGAACTGCCCTGTCATACGGGAGAAAAAAGCATCGAGAAAACCATCCATGTTCCCACAACTAGGGGAGCCAAGGAGAAGATTGGGTCTTCGCCTCCCCAAGGCTTTACCTCAACCTCTTTTAGTAAAACTGCAACTATCCCTCTTCTGGTGAGTTCTCATATGGATGCCCATAAGCCAGCTTGGAGAATAACTGCCCAAGATCTTATCTCCGATCATGACACTGCTCTCGAGTGATGTCATCACACGTTTCCTCCTGCTACCACTGAGGCCCTAACTGTCCTATCAGACGAGCACATGGTCGATGGCTTGTGTTACGCTGCCGCCCAAGTGTCATCTTATTTGGTCGCATCCGATGAATGAATTTTCGAAATGGAGACCCTCCAGTCTGATTCTGATAGGATGGGTATTGAATGTGAAGAGCTGAAAGCCCGAGTGGCAGAGTTAGAAACCTACAAGAGCATTTGGGAGGCTAAGTAGGAGGTGGTGGTGCTTGAGAGGGCAAGCTTGGTGGATCAAGTGGCAAAGCTGGAGGAAGATGTGGGGTATCTGAGTGATCGCGTGGGGGCCTTGATTTTGAAGAACTTTGTTCTGAGCAGGTGGGCGGCAAAAT